AAAAAAAGACGAAGAAAAACACAAAAAAAGAAAAATAAAGAATAAAAACAAAAGCAAAAATGAGAAGAAAAAAAAACGAAAAACGCTTATTAAGTTTTTGCTACTTTAAGCGATGTAATGTACCAAAGCACAATCAATCAGACAATTGATAGATTGGCTATATGTACTCAACAAGTACTCCATCATTTGACATTACGCTCAGAAATAAATATCCCTCACCTTCTAAATAGTATCGGCAGCCAATATACACAAACACACATATCGACATACTCAAATGTGTGTGTGAGAGTTTGTGTTTGTGTGCTAAGTGTCGACTATCTGATAACAATTTTTTTAAACTTAAAAAATTGCTAACTCTCACTTAATTTGTAAACTACACTAACAAATAACATATACAAAGCCGCACGATACCTGATTTATTAGCACCAATTCTATGAAAAAAATTTATTAGCAGCTGCCAGCGTTTAACAAATTTTTTAACTTCTCTTGTGCATCAGCATCTTTCCAAAATCCTTCCTCATCGTCATGCATGCAATATGCCCCACTTTCGTGGAAACCATCTGGACAATCAGAAACTGAAAAGAAACAAGCCGTGAACGCACTAGCTTAAAAATAAAGACTTAATACTCGCAATAATCTTTGTACTCTAAGTAAAGGTTTTAACTTACAGCATCGACCGTACAACAGCATTCCGTCTTTGCACTGACATTGCCCAACATTCTTATCAGTCTTTTTTTCACAATACGTATTCGTACATCTTGCCGAACATTCTTCATCAGTTTCACAACCGTACTCGCCAGGCCACAGCTTCCTTGACAAATATTCATTTTTCAAACCTCTAGCCTTCGTATAAATATAGCACTTAACCCTCACAGGTATTTCAGGAAGGTAAACAGCATCCGTGTTACTCCTTCAACCACTTTTATAACTTCTAACGAATACAGATGCAAACCTACATTCGACATTCTCCGTTAATGCATTTTTCGTTTGGCAAACAGGTACTGTCTGCATCCAGCCTGGTTAAACTTGAGTTTGAAATACATCGACGACGTTCGGCAACATTGAACCAGACTAAAACTATTATATAGCATTCCATCTACGACAACTTGCCAACAATTATCACATAAATAATTTGGTAAGCAAAATCAAACTCATAAAATACTTACGTGGCTCCTCAGTTATGTTACCTATTGGAGCAAACAGTGGCTTCCTACGCGCTGTACTTAGTAAGAATTTGCATGGAGAACCGTACTGATCGCAACCTGACCTAGCCTGAATAACATAATGAAGTGTTTTATGAGACTAGAACTCCATGGTAAATTAGTTTTGGTTACGAAAGAATACTCAGGTTTAGAAATAGTGTTTTACTTGTCTCAATACAGTTGGATTCATCTGTTGACAGGTGGCTCCATTCGAAGCAGCGCCATTGACGCAAACACAAATTGTCGCTATGCATTCAGCGCAGTCGTTGCTATAGCCATTGCACTGCGAAGATGTCTGACAGGTGGTTCCAGGAACTTGTTCATATGCAGCAACCGCTATAGAAAACCAAGTGTTAAAATTCATCAAAAAAATAAATTAAATGTTAAAATTTTAAATCACCGTTTGTGCAACAAGTGCCCATCACACAGTTTGAAAAGGCTGGACATGCACTTGTTGGTGAACACTGACATACTGGGCTTTGCTGGGCTGGACAAACTGGATCCATCGACAGAAGGCAACATCCGCCAAGCGGAGTACACCCGTAACCTGGAGGGCATTCGGTTCCACGTTCGCATTTCTGGGTTGCTCTACCTCCATTAGGACACAAAGGCATTGGTTCAGGACAACATCCCCTGCCTACAAAATTATCATGTACTTTGACAAATTGTCAATTTAAAAAAAAAAAAAGAACTAAGTGAAAAATTGTAGTAAAGTAGCAAAAACTAAGTGCTTTACCCTCGCATATGTAGCCGATTGGACACGAGTTTCCAAATCCGCAAAGCTGCATTGCGTATTGTCCCGTTGAACAAACCGGACTAGGGCAGCACACTCCATTTTCACAAATCTATAAGGGTTTGCATAAAGATTTTAACAGAAACTCTGTAGAGATTCTAGATTCAAATTATGCTTATTTCAGAGTATAATTACGAAGTCAACTGATACCTGATTGTCAAGGCAAGTACCGGGGCCTTGACATCTTTGTGTCGCCTGAAGTCCAGAAGGGCAAAGTGGCAATGGACAACAGCCACCGCCATTGCATTCCATGCCCGGTCCACACGGATCACTTGGAGTGCAGATTGAAATAGCGACGAAACCTCCAGGGCACGTAGGCAATGTACAGCATACACCATTTATGCACTGCTGCCCAGTTGGACAGCAGCAGCCATTGTCACATCTAACAACAAAGCGTAGCAATTTTGAGAAAGCATACTTTCAAACTGTCTTATAAAATTCAATTCTTTTATCGCATTATTCTTTTAGATGAA